ACAAGAAAATAATGAATATTTTACATAAGAACGATCAAACATTTCCTTATTATTCCGGAACCTTTTCATTTTCACCCTTGTGCAATGGACGATTTCCACAATGACGTYATAAAAACTAGTATCAGAAGGCTATATTTACTTTCCTTTTTAGTAGTCAGTAGTTAATATTTTTCACTAGTCAGGCTCCAAATGGAAAAATTTGAATTACAAAGACATACATATAGCACTCTGGTAGATGTTGTGAAATGTTACCATTGTCCAATTTTTTTATTATAGGACCTCCCTGAAATAGTATTACGCATTGTATCACAGTTCGTCATGATTTCGTTTKTCAGAGAGAGTTTAATGCAGAACTGGAAAGTATTATTATATCATACATATCACATGTATGCTACTTACGGGCCAAGAACAACAAGTGGCCATAACAACTAAAAAATAGCAATAATACATTTATGTATCATATCAAGTCAGATAGAACTATGTTTTGCTCATTTGGTCAAGATGGCGTCGTCAGAAGAAGGTCGTGAGGATATATGGGGTGTGACGCACATCGACGTATCCGGTCCTACTTACGTCATCGGTTTAGAAATGTGGTCAGAAGATGAGCGCGCGGACACAATAAAATAAATCGTTCAATAGAATAAATCGTAATTTCTCAATGTTTTTCGTTCTTTTAGTTGCTTKTTTATAGTTAGTTTTGAGCACTTTAAGTCATCTTCAACGTAGCATCCGTGTCAACTAGGTTTGTTTACTTTAGTTTACTCAGCTAAAAAAATTTAAGGACTATAATGAAGCAAGTGKAGACCTAAACATTTCACTCGTAATTAACGAATAATTATCGCACCTTTGTGAATAGGTCTCAAACACTAAGTACCATCATTTAGAGCGATCAAGCAAAACAATATACAGCASCACGAAGAAATTTATATTTCAAAGACGGTCTTTAGAGGTTGTATTCTATTGAGATTRTTTAAGATTATAACAGAGAGATGACAAACAAAAAAAGACATGGAGTAAACTCTATAGCAATTTTTGGATGTACGAAWCATAACGAGTTGTTCACGAATAATTCGGATGATATGGGCACATAATCAATTAGCTAGTCCCATATCCGAATTCAAGATCCGTTCTAAAGTGTTAATTGATCATTTGGTGTAAATGATCACCATTATATGACGTGCTTGAAAAATACTCAATTTCTATATCACAACTAGCTGTTCATTCGTCATTTGACTACAAAGTTTGAAGTGCGTTTGGAGTTTTAACCATTTGAGTTTATCTTGGTTTCAAGATTGAATTATGACAAGYCACAATGTTTATTTGTTACTCGCGTTTCTGATCATTTGCCCTCTCAAAACAGGTAAGTATTTATCAACAAATATCAAGTGCGTCATTTTTAACAAGTGACTATTTTGTCTTTCGCTCTTTTGGTTAGCTTTCGCTGCGCCTTTTTCTTTAGTACAGTATTTTGTCCGTGAGGTCTATTTTACATGTATATATTGCCGTATGTTTTTTACATGTGTATGTTGCATTACGTTTTTAACAAATATAAGTAGGCATTTTTTAAATAGCATTCTCGGGGAAAAAAGCGGATTGAAAACGGATTCCATTTTTCTAATGTTGTTGATTCRGTCTTGCTTTCTAATTTTTACTTTTCCCGTTGTAATCAATTTGCCTAACTATTACTCGTTTTATCGTATGAATTGCTTTTTAGTGCATCTGTGGCGAGTGAGACATTTGTTTTTAGTTTTTAATAAATCACATATGGTTAGTAAGATTTTTTATAAAACGTAATTTGAATATGATTGACATAGTCCCCAGTATATACTGATCATGTGAATTGAGGAACCCAGGACTTGCCAGACAGGCTTCTGTCATTGCCTTACATTTATTTGAACTTCGTTTACATCATATAGGGGCGTTGTCATGGAAAACTGTCCCATCTCCTTCTCACAACGTATTATTAGGATCCAATCTTACGCTTGTCTGGGATTACACACTGGATCCTGGAGAGACAACAGAAGGATTTTTTCAAGTAATCTGGGCCCGCAAAGATCCAACAGGATGGCACAACCTGGCCGTTAAATCGTCGGCTTCGGGTATCAGTATTCTACGAGAAGTAAACCGAGTATTTGTAGACCCCAAAGCAAATGCTACATTCACTTTAATCAGTGTCAAAGAGTCTGATCATACAACATTTAGATGTGCCATTGAAAGCAAAATGAGTCTAACGCCTACTACTGTCTCGCTTAATGTTCTTGGTGAGTTTTTGGTATATTATGAACAAATGCACGTTTTCTTACGTTATATCATATTTCAATATGACGACATGAGTCATTGTATACAGCCACACCCGCATATCATTGTAATCCAAGTGTCAATGATATGATTAAGTCTTTTGTATTTTTTCTATATCAGTTCCTGCTAAAGTGCTTCAAATATCCGAGAACGAGTCTTTTATCGAAGGAAACAGTGTTACTCTTGCTTGYCACGTAAAAGGCAACCCAACCCCTTACGTAGCATGGATATCACCTAATGGAACCATTCTACAGAACAACACGAATAATAATGTCAATAACACCTATAAAATACCYCACATGTACGCATGGCATGTAGGACCTTACCGCTGTGTGGCAAGTAACGTACACGGGTCAGATCAAAGCACCACTTATATCTACTGTAAGTATTTTTCTGTTTATAGCCATGCAGGATACTGCGCTTTACACTGATTTGTATAAACGCTCACCAACATTGGATGCAAAAAATGGAATAAATAGTGTCAAGCGCTATTTTCTACTCTACCCATGGGAAATCTTTCTGGGTGACAAAATGAAACCACGAAGAATTGTTGATAACATGATGATAGCAATAAAAAAATTCAATGTGTAATGAAAATTTTAAACTATATTTCAGTGCCTCCAAAAATAAGCACAATCTYTCCAAAAGCGATCACTGTCAATGAATCTGATACAATYACMCTATTTTGTAATGCAACGGGCTTRCCTAARCCTTCTATTACCTGGAAACGTAARACTGGYGAAATCCTTGGTTCTGGAGAAGTCTTCAMGATATCMAAGATCAACCGCAATGAAACAGGATTGTACTTGTGTAGTGCCAGTAATGGAGTTCTAGAATCTGCTGTAGCAAATTCTTCAGTTAATGTGCAGTGTAAGTTAACAAGTAACGAGAATCTGACTTAATATAATTATACAATTGTATTTCAAAAGGAAACAGCAGATTAGRACAATGTAAATCAAATCCTTTAGAAGGCTTGATGAGGTGTCAATATCTTTATGAATGGTGATTAGGAGAAGCAAGGACCTTTTGAATATGGATTTAAAAGTGTTTGTATATCATAATAATGCCTTACAAATTATCTGACWGGAGTATACAGATTCATTGTATTAGATTCATAAGCCCTAGTATCGTATGAAACATTCTAAAACGATTTTTAGGACGATTATATGGACACTAAGAATAAATATTTGGGAGTGATAATCATCCTAATCACCATAAAAACAAACTTGCCAAAAGACATTGTTAATCATTACATTTTCGYTATTTGGAATTACAGATGCACCCAGTATCGTGTACTCATCAAACAGCCAATCGATTACCGAAAACAGTACGTTAACTTTGTTTTGTAATGCAACCGGYAACCCTGTGCCTTCTATCCAATGGTTAAAAGTTGGTAGTGTCTCTAACGTTTTTCCYCAAGGCAATTGGTTAAAAATATYTCCCRTAAAAGAAAATCACAAGGGTCTATACAAGTGTAAGGCTGACAATGGAATCTTAAAGACAGCAGAGTCTTTTGTTTCAATCAACGTTCTTGGTAAGTTAGTGGAGCAACAGCAGTTTTTTCACCATTTATGTTTTCCAAACAAATTTATATTCAGGGTTCATTTTTCTCAAAGGGGGAAAACCAAACTGCCCATCCTACTGAATCACTTGTCACGGTTATGTCTTACTCCCCTATCGACTATGCTAAGACCTAAAAGGTAGAGATCTTGAGGAACGGCTAGCACTGCTCAGCTCGCCTACTCAATGACTAATCACGATGACTGGGATTCTATGTATCCAGCTTCGCCTTTAGGCTTCAAAGTAGTACTGAGAATTTTCCAAGCGCATCCGTCTATAATCTCTGCTTATTTTCTTTTCTTTTTCGTTTTATGGTAGTTTCGCCAGTCATCAGTGTACTGTATCCATCGACACAAGTCTCCATCGAAACAAATCCTGCTACCTTTTTCTGCAATGCCACAGGAAACCCATCACCCAACATTACGTGGACAAAATTAGGTGATAGCCATATATACTCTCAAAACAATCACCTCACTATTCCCCGTACAAGCAGAAATGACTCTGGGACGTACGTGTGTACCGCTGAAAATGGTGTTGATAAAGCGCAAGCAAAGGCAACCCTCGATGTTCACTGTAAGTTCTTAGTGCAATTTATGTCCTATAAATGGATCACATCATTWAATAGGTTTGTTGACACCACTGAACATGTGAGGGCAATAAGTTCTGTTGAGCRGGATCATGGACGTGCTGTGAAATAGTCTGTTTAGCAGCGTCCTTTCTTTCCTCTTTCTGACATTCCTCATCAGTTTATGTTACTAAATTTAGGTATCTGTTTTGAGGTGAATGGCATTTCAGTAATACGCAAACTTTGATTAAATGATTATGTATATTTACGTCGTCAATTTTTTACATCAATAAAASCATTTTTTGTATTTATTGACTAACTAATCTCCGTAATATACTACTTCAATCAGTAAACGCAATTGCAAAGTTCATCAAAGGTACGCAGATACCATTGTGCGCTTCACTCTAAAAAGATGAAGCGGTTTTTGACAAATATTTTATATAGAAAGTAACATCATAATGACGATAATGTTTTCGAAATGTTCATGCCAATGCATGAAACAAACATTCTATCATCTTTGTGCTGCAGATTCTTCAGTTATAACTACTTCCCCATCTGATCAAACACTGAATGAAACAAAACCTTTGACTTTGTACTGCAACGGCACTGGTAATCCTTCGCCCAACATCACTTGGGTAAAGGAAGGAGGGAGYCTAAGAGTATTTGAACAAGGAAACGTTCTTCATATAAAGCAAGTATTAAAGTCTGATCAAGGAATCTATAGGTGTACGGCTAGTAACGRTGTTGGGAAGAATGACACAGCAAYAGCAATGGTTCAAGTAATTGGTACGTGACGCTTGACATTATAAATACATGCTCATCTTTTAGCATTTTTTACTTGATGCTATATTTTGGTATATTCCTTTTTTCAGTTTATTTTGCTCCAATAATAWACTATACACAAAGTAACATCACAGTAAACGAAACAGAAACAGCAGAACTTCATTGCAATGGAACTGGTAACCCAAAACCATTAATACAGTGGTGGTTTGTTGAAAATAGTATCCCGAAACACTTATTTGATGGAGAATCACTAAAACTACGAAACATTCAACGCAATTACAGCGGCTTGTACCGTTGTACGGCAAGGAATGGAATAGGAAATCCAGCATTCTCACATATGCACCTAAATGTGCAATGTAAGTACAGTTCATACTATAATACCCACCACTAGGCACTGCGACCTACAACGAATAGAACGTCCATGAAAAGCAATGTATGATTTAAAACTATACCGCTGTAATCTTGTTAGGAGTCTGTATATTAGCATCCTATATCTGAAATCTAGCAGTAACTGTGATTTCACATAGATAAGCCAACGGCTCAAATATCGACGACCAATTACACAGCTAATGAGACTAATGCTATAGCTGTAAAATGCCAAGCTACAGGAAACCCAATTCCAAGTGTAACATGGGTGAAGAATGGTTTCAAGTCGACTATTTCTATTGGAAATGTGTTAAGCTTCATGAATGCAACAAAACATGAAGCTGGGACTTATCTTTGCCATGTAGAGAACAGCTTAGGTGTGGCAAGCGCTTCAGTTAGAATCAAGGTGCAATGTAAGTACATAATGACTCTTGCTAGCTTAGTTTATGCGGTTTGACCTCATATTTATTATCATACGATTCTATATGGTTGTCGTTTAGTTATCGTTTATCATAATTTATATAATATTTATATTCATAAATCATAAATAAAATTAAAGACTTTTGCATCAATATTATTAGAATAGCGATCACTCTGACAATGTTCATATCTTAAATTCAAAAACGCGATTTTCATCCGATTCTATTTACCAAAACCAATAGCAACAATTACATAATAATCTAGCTAAATTCATATCTAAACAATRTGTCATACACTACTTTTACTAAATATCTCTCCAATTCCTATTTTTCAGATAAGCCTATTGATACTGTACTATACAGTAATACAACAAACAATACCATTTCCTATGGTAGAAACCTTCAACTTTCCTGTCGTACTAATTCCGTGCCCCCTCCGTMTTTGTATTCTTTCTATCACAATGGTTTGCTAATGGCTTCTACTGGCAATGGCACCCTTCTTTTACCGAATGTGCAGCGATCCGATGCTGGCTTGATTACCTGTCTTCCGCGTAATATTCTCGGTATTGGTCAGACTGCAATGATCAATTTGACAGTTGTTTATGAAGGTATTGCGGYACTTACCACATGTGTATGGTTACTACAGTGAACCTATCATATGATAGTGATACTTATCGTAACCGGACTTACTGCATTGGTAAATTATATAACTCAAGAATTAAAATAGCTGAGAACGAACMGAATTATGTAAAAAAGCTGAGATATAACATTTTTCGATATACATGAATAATTACGTCATTATCAGATTATGTTTCTCATAAGGTTTGATTTCCAGAAAGTCTGATCCCGCCCTTTCACATATTCTATTTTTTAAGCACCCGTTAAACTAAAAAAATACTGTAACTGAAGTTTTTGGGATTCTATTAATGTTGTTTCAAGTTTGCTTATCATTCAATTGGTTTTATGTTTTTTATAGTTCCACCAAAAATTAGCTATCATTCCCAAGACCTTACTTTATTGGAAATGAGTYCATTRTTCCTGTACTGTAACGCCACTGGATTTCCTAAGCCACAAATTACGTGGTTATTTTTTAATGRTCTWCAAAYCAGTGTCATTCGATCAAACCAAAGCGTACTTACCATTCCTTCCGCTACAAGAGATGATCAAGGAACTTACTTGTGTCGAGCCAGCAACGGTATTGGCCGTGCGGCAGAAACTGCTGTTAATGTAACCATACAATGTAAGTTTTTGTTTTTCTGGGCAAGYAGAGGGTACAAGCCGCTGGATCTAACGACTCAAACCTGATTCCTTTAAAAAAATACCGAATCGATAAAAATGCAATTACTTGACTCGTCAGCTACAATTTTCTTGTATTTTCGCTTTTTCAAATTTTTCTACGTAAGAAATTGGTACGCACCTTATTAAGTTGACATTAAGTCAAATTAAGATACTCATATATATATTACTGAAATGCCATTCACCTGTTCTTGATATAGGTGTATTATGTGTGCCATTCATTCTGACTTAAATCTTATGTATAAACCGCTATTATCAAAACSTGACGGCATTCCAACTCGTGTCAATCATCTTATAGATAAACCAGAAATTCRGCCTGTTCAACAAACGGTGAATTCATGGATAGGAAAGACCACCTCCTTGATATGCGAGGYTAAAGGTGRACCACGCCCAGTCATCACTTGGTCAAGGACTGGGTCAACGAGTCTTACTGTAATTGATGACATGACAATAAGAAGCACATTAACCATTGCACACACCAGTCCTTCTTCGTTTGGTGTTTACACTTGTTATGCAAGCAACTCGGCGGGAAAATCACAAGTGAATGTAAACATTATACAGTTTGGTAAGTGMACTATAGGCTTTCGTACGGTTTTCCATAAAACACAAATGGAGCCGACATCAATGATGATAAGGGGTRAAAAATGGGCAGCAATACGTAATACCAACCGACGTACGTTTGAAGACTATGAACCAAACGTTTTAGTTATTCAAATCCAGAATGATTAATAAAACATTAAATTTCAGCTKCATTTAGCTGTAATATATTGTCGGTCTGAGGCACGCTTATGAATTGTTTRTTTCAGCGGTCCGTGTGGTAGTTATGTGCTTGTGTATGCACTACAATTACCAAATTAACACTGATCTCAGAGAAACTAAAATGTCACTAGGAAACCATTCAAATATAGTTTGATTTATTTTGCTTTTATAAATTATGGCACTATAGACATACTACCATATTGTGTCAGACCAAGGATTTTCCATTGTCAGCGTTGATTGAGATATATAATATCATGATTTGGACCTGACWTGCGGCTTATTTTGCGTATCGCACATTCCTGCAAACAAAATGTAATGGTGTAAACTATACATAGGGATATATTCAAGTCCTAACCTAATCAATGTTAAAYGCTGGTAAATTCATCTTCATTTATTACCTATGACAGTTGTTCCAGGCCAACCGTTGATTAGCCGCGTAGAGCCAAGTCAGTCATCTATAAAATTGTYATGGAARAAACCTCAAGATGATGGAGGGACCAATATCAATTTGTATACAGCAAAAGTGAGAAGAAATAGCAACTTAACTCACTGGTCGAGCTGCAAGACCACCAAAGAACTCAGCTGYGTCATCTCTGGTGTAGACATTGACAYAGGATATACTGTGGAGMTACAGGCGCAGAACCAAGTTGGAGAAGGAATCATTTCAAGAGGTATCAACTTTTAACTGCCCAAACGTTTCAAATTAAACAAAAGCAATAAAAAGAGAGAAACAATCATCTGATCAACA